TTATATTATTATTTTTATTATTTTTAAAGAATACAAAATGGTAAAAATTAGAACAATACAAAATTTCATTTAAAAAAAAGTAATAAGAATTCGACACTGGTGGTTGTTGCGCAATGTTATCTTCAAATTAGTTGTTTAGGTTACCAGATATAAATCTGAAAAATTGATTTTTAAAAAAAGTTATAGGGGCCAGGGAGATGCTCAGTAGAATAAGCACTTCCCTGGCACGTGCAAGGGCCTGGGTTCAATCCCTGTTTCCATTAAAAAAAAAAAAAAAAAAGTTATAAGAAACTAAAAAGAAAAAAATAATAAAAATTTTTAAGCATTAACTGCTCCTTTTTAGCAGACAGCAGAAGTCTTTTTCCCTTGTTTCTTTTGTCCTTGCCCCCTTACCAATTTTTCCTTCCCATTGAACAGATTCTTTCCCTTTCACAGTATTTACTGTACCTTTCAGATTTTATTTACTCTTTCAGGTTCTCACATTCACAAGACAATGTGATGTTTGCACATACGGGTCTGATTTATTTCACTTACCAATACAGGCACTAGTTGCATCCATTTACCTATAAAAGCCTGAAATTTATCTTTTTTTATAGCTAATACCCCATTGTGTAAAAATGCCACATCTTTCTTACCCATTCCTCAGCTGAAGGGCACAGCGCTTTTTGGTGTGATCCCACTAGCTGAGCTTTGCTGTAACCTTTTGCTCAGAAAGACTTTTCCTACACTTACCTGTTTTGTCATCCAGAAGATTGTTTCTACTTTACCGTTTACACCTCTGGTCCACTTTGATGTTAGTGTAGTGCATAGTGAGAGATGGGCTCGAGGTTCAACCTGCGGCATGTAGAGAGCCAGTTTTCCCAGCACATTTTGTAAAGAGGCTGTCTTTCCTTTGGTGAAGGGATTTGGCTCCTGTATCAGAAATAACATAGTTAAATGTGTCTGGAGTTTTTGTCTTTATTTATGCTGTTCCATTAATCTATAAGTCTGATGGGGTTTCTTTGTTTTTTGTTTTTGCCAATACCATGCTGTTTTTATCAGTGTAGCTTTATAGCCTAACTTGAAGTCTGGGATTGTGATGTCTCCTGCCTTGCCCTTGTTGCCTAGAATTGTTTTTTGCTATTCTAGATCTCTTCAGGTTCCATATAAGTTTTTAGGGTAGTTCTCTCTAGCTCTGTAAGAAATGTTATTAATATTTTGACTGGGATTGCATTAAATCTATATAACAGCTTTGGAAATATGGCCAGCCTGACTATTGGTCTGCCTGTGCAGGAACAGGAGTATCTTTCCATTTTCTGATGTCCTCTTCAGCCTCCTTTTTCACAGCGCTATGGTTTTCATTGTAGAATTCTTTCACTTCCTTAGTTAGATTAATTCCTAAGTACAGTGTTTCATTTTTCTAGATGCTATTGTGAAAGTATTGTTTCCCTAACTTCCCTGTGCTTGAACTTGTTATTATCATACAGGAATGGCACTGACTTTTTATTGCCACTTTGTATCCTGCTGCACTAGTGAACTTGGATAGTGTAGAAATCTTGTGTCTTTGCAAGTAGTCAGCAAATAGTGATAATTTAACTTTCTCCTTTCCTATCCTTTTCATGTCTTTTTCTTGTCTTAATGCTCTTGCTAATATTTTGAGAACTCTATTGAACCAAGGTGGTGATAGTGGACATCCTTATCTTGTTCTTGATTTTAGTGGGAAAGCTTTCAGCTTCTCTCCATTTACTATGATGCTGACCATTAACTTGCCATAGTTGGCTTTTGTCAGAATGAGATAAAGACCTTCTATTTCTGTTTTATTCAGGGTTTTTAATCATGAATGGAGGTTAGATTTTATCAAATACTTTTTCTTCCTCCATTGAAATTATTATGGAATTTTTATCTTTGCTTCTGTTTATGTGGTATATTACATTTATTAATTTATGTTGAATATCCCTTGAATCCCTGTAGTGAATTCTACTTAGTCCTGATAGATGATATTTTTGATGATTTACTGCATTCTGTTGGCCAGTATCTTATTGAGGATTTTTCATTTTTAGAAAATGTGTCTCATTGACCATGTATAACAAAACACTAGTTTTAAGTCTTTCAAAACCTGTCTTAACCCTCTGCCATGATCCTATGTGTCTTTTAAAAGAACTGAGCTATTTGTTGATGGGAAATTAAAAGCTAAAATAAGACCATTATATTTATTATTATTCTATTATTTATTTACTTATTCATTTCTGTATTTGGTGCAGGATCTCACTACACTGCTCGGACTTGTAGTGATCCTCCTGTTTTCAACCTCCCCAGCGCTGGGACTACAGGCATGTGCCACCACGCCTGGCCCAGTGGCTAGCTTGGCACACCTTGGGGGCAGGGCCAGTGAATACTCGGATTTGAATCACAGTCCCTGCGCTTGCCTAAGCTTGCCTAAGCAGATGCTTTAGTCTGCTGAGCTATCTTGCCAGCCCCCTAAAATGAGACCATTGTAGGATTTTACATCTTAACATTTTCATTTTTTAACTTGTGCAGTTTATATCTGGGTTAAATATTAGAAGTTCTTTTATAAGTTAGCTGCAGTGTGTAATAGATTACTCTTTGTCTTTACTTCCTAGACTTGAATGTCCACGTAGTCCTCAGTATAGCTAAAATACTGCTTAGTTATAATGATGAGAGAAGAATAAAGCAGCATTTGTCCAGTTCTGGTAACTCTGAAGTAGAAAATCTTGGCACTGATAAATAAGTTAATTGGCTTTTGGGGAAATTTGATATTTCGAAGCATGATGATTCTCAACTTTTTTGGGAGATGGGGACACATTTAAGAATCTGGTGAAAGCAATCTCTTCCCAGAAAAGAAAGAAAGAAAAAAAAAAGTACAGGTTAAGCATCTTAGACCCCAAAGTTTCAAATGTGAAATGCTTTAGAATACAAAATATTTTTAGTCCCAATGCGATGCTGTACATGTAAAATTCCATCAGATGTCATGTGACAGATGGATCAGTCACATGCAAACATTAAAAGCATTGTATGGTTACCTTCTGCTGCCTATATAAGGTGTGTGTGAAATAAATGGATTTTGTTGTGGCTTGATTCTTAAAGCCAGTGTGCCAAAGACTTGGTTCCTAGGCAGTGGTAAAACCTTGGAGATGGAATTAATGGAAAGAAGTTGTGTCGAGGGGCAAGCCCTTGAATGGGGCCCTTGACTCCAGCGCCTCCTTTGTACGAGGCAAGCAGCTTTGCCCCATCACATACTCCCCAGCAGAAGAGCTTCGCTACAGCCTCAAAAGCAAGTACTGCCCATAATGGCCTGAAACCGCTGAGGCCATGAGCCAAGGTAGAGCTTTGGTCTTTTAGGTTGATCATCGCAGTTACGCAGTAATGGAAAGCTAATGCGGATTCTGAGTTTAGACGGGACCTTATCGCCAAAATAGCTCATTGTGTATTTGCACATATTCCAAAACCAGACACTTCTAATCCTAAGCATTTTGGATAAGGATACTTACTCTGTAATTGTCAGCCTTTGGAAATTTGTATAATTTAAATCACAGTTCTTGAACTTGGCAAATGCCCGGTTCACATAAGCATCTTGTAAGTGTGACAGTAGTTGTGGTGTGAAGCAATTCAGAGATTTGGATTCACGCCTCGGGAATGTTACTTCTCATGCTACCCAAACGTGTACCATCCATGAGCAAGCAGTGTTGCTGCTGGAGAGTGTGGCTGCAATGTCATGCCTGGTGCAGCGGGCGCGTTTCTGTAATCCTGGCACTTTGGAAGGCAGAGAGAAGAGGAGCCAGCCAGGGCAACTTTTGGGTCTCACAGCACAGATCAGACTCGTGGTGATCCCCCTGCTTTCAGCCTCCCCGTCACTGGGATTACAGGCGTGTGTCCCCACCCCAGGTCTCAGTGGCCAGACTGGCTCAGTGTACCTGCAGGCAGGGCCTGTGGTGCCTGGCATCAAGTCCAGGCCTTGTGTTTGCCTAAGCAGGAGCTTAGTTGGCTGAGGTATTCTGCCGGCCCTTCTGATGGGGCAGTTTATGGAGACCTTGTTTCACAAAATACACTGAGAATGTAGCTCAGTGTGAAGGTTCTGGGTTCAATCCCCAGTACACACACACACACACACACACACACACACACACACACACGGTGATGCAGGGAGAAGAAAAACAAATGTCAAGCTCCATTGCAAATCTAGTGCATCGTAAAGTGCAAAATGCTGTGCTCATTTGTGTGCATATTAAAGTGAGAGAAGTGCTGTGTCAAGGATGTTTTCATTATATGTTTTACTTCAGTTACATAGTTGCAGTTGTTCAAAGACTTAGTATAACTATTTTTAGATTTCACTTTTTAGCCCCTAGTTTGTTTTGTTTTGTTCTTTAATTGAGGGAAAGGTTCTGATAAAGTTTTCAAAACCAGTCTCCCTTTGGGACATGAAGAATGGTCTGGGGATCAGGCAGCATCTCGTTTTAGCCACTAGGTGACACCACTGCACCAGGGATGTCAGCTCTCTCCTGACTAGCAGTAGAGAGTGGTGCTGTGGAAGAGCAGGGGACAGCTATTGGTTGTTTGCCAACAAATGTGTGTAACTCCAAGTACATCTAATTAGATTCAGGACATGGAGCTGATGGCACCCAAATTCAAGACTTTTGGCTTTGCTCTGTCAATGCCCACAGGCTAAGCCGATGACTGGGAACTGCTGAGACAGTGAAATGGTTTCTTGGGGATAATTATCAATCTAATAAATAATAAAAGAGCTAGTGCTTGTGTGAAAGAAAAGCATGATTTCTTTTGGATGAATGTATAAGCTGAGCAGTGTTTGAAGCTGAATCATGCCTGAGGCTGAAGAAATGATGCTGGTGTAAGGTCCCTCACAACCTTGAGAAAGTGGTATTGATTTAGGAAGCACTCCTAGAAACATTAGTGGTCATAACTAGGCAGTGTGTGGGTAAGGGCCACTAATACCAGTGCTGGTGTTTCGGAAGTCCTAATCACGTGTGTTTTGTTCTTTTGCTAGGTTTGCATTTCTTCCTTGCTTTGTCTTGAACACAGAACAATGCCAAAGAAAGCGAAGCCTACCCAGAATGGGAAGGAAGAGGGGCCTGTTCCCAGGAAACAGGTGAAGGTGGAGGCAGTTGGTGGGGCCTCCACCTTAGACTTTGATAGCCCCAGTAGTCTCTTTGAAAGTTTAATCTCTCCAATCAAAACAGAGACTTTTTTCAAGGAATTCTGGGAGAAGAAGCCCCTTCTCCTCCAGAGGGCTGACCCTGCACGAGCCGCATATTACCAGTCTCTCTTCAGGCTAACAGATCTGAAGAGGCTGTGCAGCCAGGGAATATACTATGGAAGAGATGTGAACGTATGCCGATGTGTCAGTGGGAAGAAGAAGGTCTTAAATAAAGATGGCAAAGTGCACTTTCTGCAGCTGAGAAAAGATTTCGATCAGAAAAGGGCAACAATTCAGTTTCACCAACCTCAGAGATTTAAGGTAACAAGTTCCTCACTGCAGAGCCCTCATTACTTGCTCAAGTGCTAACATTTGGTCACAGATCAGCTCAAGGGTGACAGTGATGGTGAGCCTTCTGCCATTCTGTGAACGCACAGCAGCTTTTTGGTCTTAGTGCATTTCTGTCTAAATTCTACATTAGCTTTTAGCTAAGTTGTTCTCAAGCACCTAAGGTTAAGCATGGGTATTACTGAGGTGTAAAAGCTGAATTATATCTCAAGTTTACAAAGCTTGCTTTTTTTCTTTTGTGAACTTTTTCTTTTAAAGAGAATAAAAAATTAAAAACAGCACTGGCAAGATAGCTCAGCAGACTAAGAGCCTGTTTTTTTTTTTTTTTTTCCAAAATTTTATTGATAAATAGATAACAGTGTGACAGTTTCAAATCAAATTGGAAGTACAGATTCAACAAATAACATACTGCATATATTCTTCTTAGTGGTTAATTGCTGTACAAG